TTCTAGGCTGTACCAAATATCATCTTTTTTTTTTTTTTCTTTCCCCTGGAGTGTTATCTATGATAGGTTAATTTTCTTAGAATGTAAAATTTGGCAGAAGATCGTTACTCTTTCTACTCCTCCACCTTCCTGCTCTCTTGGTTTCATGACTGATTTGCAACATTACCTGTTACTACCATTTGTTGGTGAGACTTTTTCTCCTCTAATTTGTCAGCAGCAGTCATCGAGTGTCCCCTGGTGTGTGGAATACCGATTAAATGCCTGGATTCTTAGTACCACAAAATGCCATTCTGGATAAGACAAAGATTTTTGGAATTTGTTTACATTTTTTCCCCCTCCTGTGTATTTATTGCGTTTACCATCATTTTACTCCATAATCTTTATGTGGAAAATGTGTATCAGTCAATTTTGTGTTCTTACAGTCTTGCAGTTTGGCAGACTGACATTCCAGAGGAGTGTTTTATATAGCTGAAGGAATTTCAATCACTTGGGTCTTTGGGGACTTATTGCAAATCATTTTAGACAAATGTACCTCTAGAAAAATACACTGATCCTTTTCATTCTTTAATTATATTTAATAACAGAAACAGAAGCTTTGTGTCTATAGCACTTGGTAATTGGGGCTTATTCGATAACCCCTTGGTGGAGTGTTGTAGTAGGCTAAAACTGCCTGATCAGCATCCATGAAATGAAATGATAGGCCCCCCCTTTTTTCATAAGACAGTCACAGTCTGTAATAATGAAGTCAAAGAACGGTTTTTAGTCCTGTGGTGTACCTACCTGGATATCAGAATGATACAATTGCTATCAGCGTTAATGTCAGCATTTTCTAATAGCCTTTCTGGGGAGCTAGGTATTAAAAAGGCACTTGGATGTTTGTTCTCGTATAGGTTTTGGATAACCACTCTAGCAGTAAGATTTATTAACTCATAGTTAGGATTGCCTTTCTTTGGCAGAGCAATTTTGTTAGATAACACATTTTTCAATTCTTTAGAACTTTTAACAGTTACGTAGCTGCTCCAGAGGAAGCTCATGGATCGTCTAAGGTGCTGGATCTGTAGTATAAACTCTAGATCATTTCATCATTGAATACAGGCTAGATTTTTCTCTCCTATGAAACTGGTTCATCAAAGGAAGACATGATTAGTAAATTGACTCTAGTTGCCCCAGCAAAAATAAAATTTCAGGTTCTAAGATGAAGCGAATATAGTTTACTTCTGATAGATTACAGGTGATATTTTACATAATCAGACTTAGAATTTTCCATTTCTCTGAACTTTCCCCAAAAATGGGTTAAAAAAATCGTTTACATAGTGTCACTCTTGAGATTATTATACTCATATTTGGAATGGTCATTTACCATTGTAAGTAATTGATTGAGGAGTATAGAGGGATGCCTGTTTCATTTTACTCCTGGTTTCCTTGGGGAAAATACTGGATTGTCGCTTACATGAGGCTACTTAAATCATTAAGTATTGATGCACTTAACCGTTAGGGCCTGTAATTTGCTCTTTCACTGTTTAAGGAAACAAAATTATAATATTTGGAAGTATTTAATTATATTGTTAGTGACATTGCCACGGTTATTGTTGGTCTCTCTTTTTCTTTTACTGCACCAGAATTTAGCCTGGTGCTCAGTGGATACCCAAATGTTTGGAATAATTGAAAGGATGGCAAGGTCAAAGAGTTTTTGACTATAGCATCATTTTGTAATTGTGTGGCAAAAGTTTGGGGGAAAATGTTGATTGCTCTCAGCTGCAGTTTTCTTAAGTTTGTATATTTTGAGGATTGCTGTATTTGATTATTTCTACTGCTTTGAGATCTTTTGGGGAGAAAATATAAAGAAAGTACAGTAGACATGTCATTTTGTGGTATGCTTTAGTCCATTGAGTGGATTTGTTCACTTAGAATGGATATTTGATGTCTTAGTATTCATGAGCAACAGTCAATTCAGGTTATATCTTGTGTGCTTAAAGTCACCATATAAATTCTCAGATGCGTAAGCTCATCCTGTATTATGATCAGTTCACTAAAATGAGGCTAATTTTTCGAGATATTTTTTCAGGTGGCAGAAATGGAAGGTATCATCAGTAATGTGACAGTGACTAATTTTTTTTTTTTTTTGAAAGATCTTACTCATTTGAGAGAGAGATTGAGAGAATGAGTGAGCAGGGGCAGAGGGAGAAGCCGACTCTGAGCGCAATGTGGAACTTTATCCCAGGACTCTGGGATCATGACCTGAGCAGAAGGCAGATGCTTAACTGACTGAGCCACCCAGGCACCCCAGTGGTTATGTAATATTTCAGTGGTGGTGGTAATGATAACATTAATAGTAACTGACACATAGTGTTTACCACTTGCCTGGTTGAGTTCTAAGAAATTCAGTCTTTATAACACTTTGTTAGGTGAGTGTTAGTATTCCCATGTCACAGACTAGGAAACTGAAGTTAAGTAATAACTGAAGTGACATAGCTACTAAGTGATAGAACTTGGTCTTGGCTCTTTATTATGCTGTGGTAGTGAGCGTGTACTGTATGCCAAGTTCTTTACCAGTTCTTTATCAGTTTAATGACAATCCTGCATGATATAGGTTAATTCCTAGTTAACTCCAAATTAACATTAGCAATGCCAGGCTCAGAGAATTTAGGTAACTTCTCCAAGTATGCCTCCCAAGTAGGGTGGGTGGCATAAACCCAGGCCTCTGTGCTTTGTAGTCTTTACTAAAATTCTATTTCAAAGTACTAATTTGAGGTCCTATATTTTATATTATATATTTAGAAGGCATACTTAAGACAGCCAACCTAAAAACTTTGTCAGCTGACACACAGGATGGAAAATGTTCACTTCTTCTCTACTTTCTTGTGAGCCAGGATTATAATTTCCCGGTTACTAGCTGTAGCTTCACCCTTTCCCCATTCCTGTAAGTATCTTGGAATGCAGGTGAGTAACATTTGTAAAACTTTTTTTTTTTTTAAGATTTTATTTATTTATTTGACAGACAGAGATCACAAGTAGGCAGAGAGGCAGGCAGAGAGAGGAGAAAGCAGGCTCCCTGCTGAGCAGAGAGCCCGATGTGGGGCTCGATCCCAAGATCCTGGGATCCTGACCTAGGCCGAAGGCAGAGGCTTTAACCCACTGAGCCACCCAGGTGCCCCTGTAAAACTTTTTGAACGAGGAAACATTCTTAGAACGAATACACACATTTCTGGTGACACATCCTATGTACTGATAGTGGTACCATTGGTGAGAATGGCTTTTTTTCCAAAGATGTTGGGTGATTTTAAGTAGAAGAACTAATGCAAAGATATATTTTTATAGCTATTTAATTTATTTTGTAAAGATGACATTCAGTGGTACTTTTGTATGCAACACTGTGAAGTTTTCAATTCTGTACAGTTATATGCTTCATGGGAGTAATTTCTGCTTGATATATTCTCATTGGTGCAGTGTGTCTGGTATTGTATCATAAACCTAAACTAATACACTTCATTGTGCTTAGAATATTTCTTCTAATCATAAATTGGCATGTTCTCAGATAATTCATGTTACACTGAATACTAATTTAGGTCAAACAATTTTAGGACATACTTTCAATGAAAAAAGTTATGACATATTCCCAAATATTATTTGGGGATTATTTATGCCATTTCTTTGTTCTTTTTGAGAGTAACAGAGAGTTGAAGGCATTAATTTAAATAATCCGTGATTTACTAGGTCTTGAAGTGGACTTTTACAGTTTGCTGATTTGTACTTTAACTGAGAGATTCTACTCAGTGTGAAATTTTAGTATGTATGGACAAAACCATTGCACTTAAGCCCTGATTGGCTTTTGTTCAGAGAGTGAAGATTCTCAGATTACCTATGAAATGGAAATAATAATATCCTTAGCTATGTGCTTCACAATTCTTATGAAGTTTTTATATTTCAGTGCAATGTGGTAGGAGGGCAAAATATAATTTTATTAAATTAACATGTTTCCTTTTTTGGGAAGGGGGGGGACACAGGGAGAAGGGAGAGACTCTCAAGCAAACTCCCCACTGACTTGAGATTCTTTCTCTCCCTCTCCCCGCACTTGCTCTCTCAAATAAATAAATCTTTTTAAAAAAAAACCTTGCTTTTGATAATGTATTTTTTGACAACTAGCGTAATACTTGGTATATGATGGTTATTAATCCTGCAAGTAGTTAATAAACGCAGGAGCAGGCTTATAACAACAGTGAATAAAATACTAGTGGTCCCTCCTTAGAGTAGGAGAGAGAAAAATAGACAATGTGAGTTCAGTCTATGTATTCCATAGGTACCTAATCTTACGAGTCAGGGTAAATGCTCGTGTTGTAATGCCAATTAAACTAAAACCTAAGGAGTGGATCAGTAGTCAGTCAGACAAAAGGGAGAATGCATGGGCATAAATGAGGGAGAGGCAAAAGCTTTGAGATAAGAGAGGTCAGGTACATTTTAGAAATGGATACTGGTTCTGTAAAAGAGGGGTGAGAAGGAGGTACACAATTGGTAAACTGTAAGCCTGGCTGCAAGAGTGGTGTTAACAAGTTCAGGTTAGTTTGGACTGAAGGCTATAGGGAAACCATTATAGGATTTTAAGGGAGGGGAGGTGAATTACCAGCTTGTTCTGACAGTTTTTGGAGAATGGATTGAAGGTGAAGTAAGATTCAGTATAAGTCGGCAAGCTAAGAGGCTATTGTTGCTAAAGTCCAGGGAAGAATTGATAGCGATCAGCATTGGAGTACTGACAATGGAGAAATGGTATTAAATCCATAAGATTTGATGATTTACTGGACTTAGGCTCTGTAGAGCCTGTAACTTTGCTTCCAGTAATAGAGTAGGGCATACATTTTCCTCAAGGTCCTGTTACTACTTTTTCATGTAAAGCTGAGATACTGCTGGGGCTAAGACAAAGCCAGATGTATTCTCAAATACGAACTTTCAGTTGACTCTCGACGTTGTTAGTTATGGAGTTCGCCCATCCTAGACTTAGGTTATGACCAACGTGGATACTCCCGGGAGGTCACTCTCCCTGGGCTCTGTCCAGGTGGGGTAGAAGAGCATAGGGTTCTGCCCCATGATGTACAGTCCATTTCCACCACGCCTTGAGTCTGCACCTGCATTCTTACAGCTTCTCAGGGTTCTGTGGACAGTGACAGAGGAGACAAACCATGTGGAAACAGCTCTCTAAGCAGCCCCTGTCTGGATCTAGGTTGATTGGAAATGAAAGGGAAACCTGCTTTTATCAGCTGCTGTTCTGTTGGCTTAAGATCTTACCTATATCTCTTTTGCAGCAAGATTGCTCAGGATTCCAAATAATTTGATTTAGGGAAAGAAGAGCCTCACCTGACATTAGCAGTTGACACTTTACGCTGTTAGTTCCTTTATTTGGCAGGGGGAGCTGGTAAAGTGAATGACAAATGCTTTTTTCATAGGATAAGCCTGGAGATTTGGAAGCTGGGACACATTTGACCCCTTTAAAAACTGCCCTTTAGAGTAAATTGGGGGTGGGGAGGACAGTAGGTTAGAAAACCAAAGTAGGAATATCAGCCTGGGGACTCATGAGGCCTCCATGAGTCAGGCACTCAGTTTCCACGGGAGGCCAATAGCACGCTCACAATTACTTTAGAGAAGGAGCATGCAGAGACAAAGAATTGAGAACCCCCGGGGGCACCTGCAGGTGGAGACTGCCTCCCTCCCTTTGTCAGAAGCTCTAATCAATAAAATCGTAAGTCACACAGACCCAACCAAAAAAACGGGTCATTAGGGTTGTGGGGCCCCAAAAGTACTAATATTTTTGTACATGTGACCCTTCCTGATTGGGAGAATCTCCTCTGGCACTTACACGGTGGGGAAGGACAACCATGTAACATACGGAAACTCCTAACTACACACTGGGATGTAGAGGCAGCAACAGATATTGAACTGGCCCAAAGAGCCGTGTCCTTTGGTCACATTCATTTTTCTTTCCCTCGAAATCCTGCCCAAACCCTATTAATTGAATCTAGATTTTTCCCTCCTTTCTTGGGACTGGGTAGGGTGGTGATGACATGGGTGTCTATATCTAAACGAACCTTAAAGCTTTGAGTCCCTCTCTAAAGTTCTCTAGGCGGCTTATTGGCCTTGTGGCCTTCAGTCCTTCTTAGGAGTCAGGGAGACCTCAACCCCATACTTTATCTTTTTTTTCTGTAAAGCAGAAGAGTTTTGGGGGTAGAAGTAGAGCAGGGTGGAGATGGCAGCATGGAGGGAAAGAGCACCTGTACCAGCAATCAAAGCTTTGTATTCCCTTTTGGTCATTCCCTCATAGTTCAGTCAAAGGAACTTCTAATACTTTTGTCCAACTAAAACTTCACTTTGGCAGCAAGACCATCATTATTTACATAATCGATTTTAGTTTTGGGGATTCCAAGGTTCAGCAGTCACAGCCACATTGCCTTTCACCTGGAAACACAGGGCCGTTGCCCCGTTGTCTTGGCATATCCCTTCCTCTGCCAGTCCAGAGGAGAATGAACAACTACCGAGTCACCATTTGGATGGCTGATTTCAATTCCATTCTCACTACTCAGTTTCTGAACTTTAATCCAACTTCTGTTCATTAACAGGTAGGGCGGTAGGGATCCATATTTTCACCTTCTTCCCACCTACCATCAGGACCACTCTCAGATCCCAGGGTGTCTTCCCATTTCGTAGACCTCTGCCTTTGGGGGCTTTTATCTTCTGCTTTCTAGAAAGTCATGGATGGCTCTGTCAGCATCCCATCCTTACTGCCAAAACTGTCCAGAACCATGATGATCTGAGATCATACCCTCCTTGCAAGCTAGTAAGTTACCATGCCACCTTTTCATGGATGCTGGTAGAAAACATGAAACTCCTGTGCAAGAGAGGAAGGGCAGTATTACTCTCACTAATAGCAGTAGTCAGAGCATCAGCATTTGAGATGTATTTTCTCCAAGGTAAGTTGGTATCTGCTAACATTTACTCAAAATGTAATGGCTAACCTGTCCAGACATCTTTTGAAAAAAATCATACGTCTTTCTTTTTCTTTCTTTTTTTTTTTTTTTAAGATTTTATTTATTTATTTGACAGAGAGAGAGATCACAAGTAGGCAGAGAGGCAGGCAGAGAAAGGGGGAAGCAGGCTCACCGCTGAGCAGAGAGCCCGATGCAGGGCTCAATCCCAGGACCGTGAGACCATGACCTGAGCCGAAGGCAGAGGCTTAACCCACTGAGTTACCCAGGCGCCCCAGTCATACATGTTTCTTAAGAATTTGGGGGCATTATATTAAAGTGAACTATGGGAAAACCACCTTGGGTTGCAAAGTATGAGATTACTGTGTTTTTGTTTATGTCATACAACAGTTCTTTATTTAAAATTCTGGAAAATTCTAACAAAACAATATAAGCACATTTTTAATGAAGTTTCCTTTCCTTTAGATCTTGGGACAGTATAGATTTAAGGGCTAGCATAGGGATGCCTGCGTGTCTCAGTCAGTTAAGCATCTGCTTTCAGCTCAGGTTGTGATCCCAGGGTCCTGGGGTAAAGTCCTGCCTAGGGTTCCTTGCTCAGCAGGGAGCCTGCTTCTCCCTCTGCCTGCTGCTCATCCTGCTTGTGGGCATGTGCTCTTGCTCTCTGACAAATAAATTTTTTTAAAAAAAGATTTTATTTATTTGAGAGAGAGAGAATGAGAGAGAGAGAGAGCATGAGAATTGAGAGGGTCACAGGGAGAAGCAGACTCCCCGCCGAGCAGGGAGCCCAATGCAGGACTCGATCCCAGGACTCCAGGATCATGACCTGAGCCGAAGGCAGTTGCTTAACCAACTGAGCCACCCAGGCATCCCATAAATAAATTTTTTAATTTTTTAACTTTTAAAAGGGGGGGTAGCTAGTTTAGTTGGAGGAAGGTTTAAACTTAGTTTTTTTAAAATTTTTTTAAAAGGGGGTTTGGCTTCATTTTACCAGTCAGCATTTTCTAACTCCTGTCCAGTTATTTTCTGTAAACAAATTTAAGAAATATTATTTCAAAATTTAACTTTACTTGCTGAAGATTGTTATGTTTAAACTTGTTTTTACTTAAATATTTAATATGTTCTGGTATTACATAAATATTATTTACCAAGTTGTTTTCTGAAGTTCAGAAAAGTCAGCTTCATTTATTCTGTCCATTTGGGTTAAAGTGTACATGAGTGTACAGAGCTGGAAATGTAAAGAAATTTTCTAGTTATGGTGGCACCACTTCTAGGTAGCTAGTGGATAAAAGCTTACATTTTGCAAACTTTCTGATAATTGGGGCTTCCTATATTAAAATGTGAATATAGTTAAACCAAAGCTTTTCCTTTTTATTTATAGAACAGTATGTTGAAGCTGTAGTCGAAATATGCAGCCTGGGGTTGGCAACCCTTTGAAATGGGTGTGCCAAAGTTCCAGTATAGTATGTGTCGTGGTGACAACTGGCCAGTGTTCTGTCTTTGGTATGTGTCACTGACCCCTTCTTAGTAGTCTAGTAGCATATTAAAAGTTCATTTAAAAAAAAAAAAAAAACTTTTTAAGGCTGATTTTCAGTGTTCTTAGCAGCTTTTAAAAAAATCCACCTATATTTTATTAAAATCAAATTTAATTTTTAAACCATTCTCAGTTTGCCTAGTTTGGGTAAGTAGATAGCCTGTGATTTTAAATAATTAAAAAATATTTAAACATCTCAAGTTTTCCTAGTTGAGGTATACAGGCAAAGCTTTAGTGAAGTCCTTTTCCTGCCTCTGGTCTCTCAGATCCTTTCTAGGGTCTTATTTGGGTCTCATAAGAGAGAGATGAGTGAGCAATTTTTTTTTTTTTTTTAAGTATAACTGGTTTACAGTGTCACAGGAAACTGTCCTCAAGTCGTAAAGTAGGACTAAACAGGTGCTGTGGAACAGTTTATCCCAGGCAGTTATAAGTCACATGATTAGCAAATATTTTCTCCCAGTCTGTGCCTTGTCTTGTTATTTTCTTAATGGTATCATTTGAGGTTTAAGGGTTTTGAGCTTTGATAGAGTCTAGTTTACCTTTATCTTTGCTTTTAAGAATCCTGCCTTTGTTGCTGTGTCCGTGAAGTCTTAGTCCAACCCAGGACCATGAGATTTATGCCTATGTATTCTAAATGTTTCATATTTTATCATTTTACTTCTTATGTTTGGGTTTGTGGTCCATTTTTAATTAACTTTTTAAAAAGATTTTATTTACTTACTGAGAGATAGAGAGTGCATGTGAGTGGTGGGAGGAACAGAGAGAGAGTGAATCCCAAGCAGACTCTGTGCCAAGCACAGAGCCTGTCACAGGGCTTGATCCCACGACCCTGAGATCACGACCTTAGCCAAAATGAGGGGTCGGACACTCAACTGACTGAGCCATTTAGTTACCCCTAATTAATTTTTATATATAGTGTGAGGTAAATTTCTTAAGTTGATATTTTTGTATGTGGATACCCAGTTGTCTCAGTGCCATCTGTTGAAAAGACTGTCCTTTTCCCCATTGCTTTGCCGTGGTGTCTTGGTTGAGAATCAGTTGACCCTAGATATATGGGTTTATTTCTGGACTCTCTTTTCTGTTTCATTGGTCTACATGTCTGTTGTTCTGCTAGTACCACATGTCTTGATTACTGTAGCTCGTCATGCCATATTTTATTTTTTTTATTTTTTATTTTTTTGTTACTATTATTTTATTCATGAGCTTTTTTTTCTTAGCATATATATATTTTTTTAATTTCAGCGTAACAGTATTCATTGTTTTTGCACCACACCCAGTGCTGCATGCAATACGTGCCCTCCCTAATACCCACCACCTGGTTCCCCCAACCTCCCACCCCCCACCCCTTCAAAACTCTCAGGTTGTTTTTCAGAGTCCATAGTCTCTCATGGTTCACCTCCCCTTCCAATTTCCCTCAACTCCCTTCTCCTCTCCATCTCCCCATGTCCTCCATGTTATTTGTTATGCTCCACAAATAAGTGAAACCATATGATAATTGACTCTCTCTGCTTGACTTATTTCACTCAGCATAGTCTCTTCCAGTCCCATCCATGTTGCCACAAAAGTCGCGTATTCATCCTTTCTGATGGAGGCATAATACTCCATAGTGTACATGGACCACATCTTCCTTATCCATTCGTCCGTTGAAGGACATCTTGGTTCTTTCCACAGTTTGGCGACCGTGGC